ATAACCACACTGAAATTCAAACCTGAGTCCACCTGATTCCAAAATTGGAGCCCCAGAGCTCAGGCCACACTGCGCCACACCTTTTACAATGAATACCATGTCATCATCATTTTCCACGTATTACATTGTGCTGATATGGCAACTTCATGAAACCATTCCTTCACTGTCAGAACTTGTACCTGGTTTCTTGCACATATAAATAAAACCAAAAATAAAACTGTACAGATGTGCAGGGCTTGCTTAAGATGATGCAGTGAGATTAAAAATAAGGAAATAAGCTTTGAATATGATTAAAAGGCTCCAGTTTTTTCTGGGCTTCTTTGCAGCTATCAATTACCAGGAACTTCTATGCCGTAGATGTCACAGGCAATACAGTTCTATGGGAGGGAAAAGACAAGAGGAAGTCTGGGAGGGCTGCCCAGGGCTCATCCTCTGGCCAAGGAGGAGAAGTTTCTTTCTGAGCCTAGACAGCAAGTGTGGCCCATGACTTCCCATCACATGCAAACACGACATGGCTGTTAGCCTATCTAAGCAAGCTAAAAGCGGGGAGAAGTGCCTCCCTCATCACTCTGCGTCTCCCAGCTCATCCTCACAGGTAAATGAAGCCAGTACTAAACGCTTGATACCCTCACTTCAATACAGTTCCCCAATACAAAGCCAATCCATTTGATATAGGGAAAGAAATGCATAGTTAGAGAAATTCTCAAGAGCTATGAGCAGCAATTTTAAAAATACAAAAGCATACCTCAAATGATAGACAAAAGGAAGAATTTCCTTTTTGACCAGTTTGGTGAAAGAATGAAACCGTCTCTCTCCTTATAATACAAGTCACACTAATTACTACCGACATGTCAGAAATAACAGTGCCCGAACAATCTACTTGTCTTGGCCACCTCCAACATCAGTCCCAAAGCTAGAGGCCTATAAAAGGGTGGCCATGTGTCAGACTCGCCTGGGACAGCTGGGGTGGACACTTGTTTCCTGGTATAATTACTCACAGAGCCCCTTCAAGCTCTTAAGTGTCTTGGCTTAGATGATAAATTATATATAATAATGACCCTACCTCAAAGCTTGAACTGTCCTGAAAATATCCACTTATTAATACATCAAGGGCTTCTTTCAAGGCCCCCTGGAGTGGGCTGAATGGTGGCCCCAAAGATATCAGATCCTAATCCTTAGAACCTGTTTAACTGTTAACTTACTTGGAAACAGGATCTTTGCAGATGTGATTAGTTATGGATTTTGAGATAAGGAGATTATCCTGGAGGGCCCTAGATGGGATCACATGTATCTTTTTTTTCTTTAAAGATTTTATAGAGAATTAGGGAAGGGGAACAGCCAAGTTGTTGTCCTTCAGGGTTAGTTGTGGGGGGCGCAGCTAGCTCAGCTCCAAGTCCAGTCGCCATCCAGCCACCTGTCGGCAGCTCGCAGCCACTCAGCTCAAGGTGCTGTGTTCAATCTTAGTTGCAGGGGCAGGGGCGGGGGTGCGTAGCCCCCATCCCATGCGGGAGTCTAACCGGCAACCTTGTTGTTAGGAGCATGTGCTCTCACTGGCTGAGACATCCTGCTACCTATTGGCAGCTCAGCAGCAGCTCAGCTTGGGCTCAACTCACTGGCCCATGTGGGAATCGCCGGTGACCCTGTTGCTCAGAGCTCGCGCTCTTAACCAACTGAGCCACTCGGCCAGCCCCCAATCACATGTATCTTTAAAGAGGGAGATTTGACAGAGACAAGACCATGTGAAGACGGAAGCAGAGGATGGAGTGATGCAGCCACAAGGAACGCAGCATCTATCAGAAGCTGGGACAGACCAGGAAGGATCCTTCCCCAGAGCCTCTGGATGAATGTGGTCCTACCACACCTTGACTTTTCTTTCTTACTTTTTAAGATTTTATGTGGGAATCGAACCAGTGACCCCATTGCACACAGCTCACGCTCTTAACCATCTGAGCCACTCGGCCTGCCCACACCTTGACTTGAAACTCCTGGCCTCAGAAGTGCAACAGAATATACTTCTGTTGTTGTAAGCCACCTAGTTTACGGCAATTTATTATGGCAACAACAGGCAACTAACACAGCCCTCCAAGACTGCTTCTTCTCTACTAGTTTCTCTAATATGCCACACAATTTGTGGTCTCAGGATTCCCTCAGCTGCTATTCGTAGTTTCTCAACTGTTATCACATCCTTGCTTCTGTGCTGTGGACAATCAACGTCTTACTTCTTTCATCAGCAGCTACATTCGGAAAGTTGGGGAATCATCTGATTGAGTTTAAAAGCAGCCACCATGTTGTCTCCCAGATACACACTTACAGCACAATGACAAAGAAAGGGTGAAAGGGAGGAAAGAAACAAGTGCTCGAAATGGCGCAGATGGCAAACCCTTCTACACATCCCACAATGGGAAAATGGATCAAGCGCCAGTCAGACAACACAGCTCCACAGAACAGCTAAACCCACATGAATTTTCAGAACTCCATGGGGCTCTTTTTTGTCAGCACAGTGGCAGGGGGCACTGTTGGCAATCAAGGGCCAGAGGCCAGGAGCGCGTCACATCCCCTGGGAGGCAGGAGACCGGCCAGTGCTCACTTCTCTGTACAACAAAGACAGCATTATGAATGCACTTAAGAAACAAAGTTTGCAAATGCAACCTTGGAAACCATCACAAACCGGTGACTTGCAAACAAAGAATGTGGGCATCTCAAAATTTGTATCTGTTAAAGAACAAGTTAGGTTACAAATCAGTGGGAAAGGGCCTTGTAATGATAAAAGGAATCGTTTATTTAAGATACCATTATCAAATATCTTAGCCCCAAATGCAAAAGCTACTAGAAGTGAAAGGAGGACCTGATTACAAATTACAGGACATACAATTGACTAAACCTCTTGCTACCTGAAGAGACGTAATAGCACAATACTAGTTATCTTTGTGACATGGACAAGGACAAAGTGCTAAAGCATCCTGTGGAAACACACAGATGGGGGGAATCGCTAGGACAAGAGACTCCGCTGATGGGACAAAATGAACTGAAATTTAGCAGCTAAAAATACACATAAAACTTTGAAATCAAAGTTTAGAATGAAAGGAGCTCCATAAATAACAAGTGGGCTTCATAGAAGCATATGTAACCTAAGGTTTTGGCTACCTTATCTAAAGTTAAGTCACCATACACACACACACACACACACACACACACACACGACCAATCAATACTCTAATCCAGGGGCCGGCAAACTGTAGCCTGAGGGCCAAATCTGGCTGGTCACTGTACTGCTTGTGAGCTAATAATGGTTTTTACCTGACTAAATAACTGGAAAAAATCAAAAGAACGTTTCATGGCATGTGACAAGTATATGAAATTCACATTTCAATGTCCATAATAAAAATGTTATTGGACTACAGCCATGCCAATCATTCACATACTGTCTGTCTCTACCTTTGAGATACAACCTGAGTTCAGTAGGAACAACAGAGAACATATAACCCTTTATAGAAAAACTTTGCCGACCCCTTCTGATCTATATGTGGCAAATTATATGTCAAGTGCAGAATAGAGTTCTGGAAATCAAGGGTTCAGAGAGAAATTAACTAAGCTGTGTTCAGCATGGAGTCTGGGAATGACAATGCCTTGGTATATGAATTCAAATTCATAAAGGGATTTTTTTCATACATGAGGGAATCTTGTGTGCTGTTTAGAAATTCACATTGTTTCAGAAAATGAATTACGGAGATAAATGGATGTACTGGGGAAAACCTTTCTCACAATTTGTCACAACACAGAACAGCAGTGTGTCTTGTAAACTGGAAAGATTCATGCGGAACCTGACCTAACAACTACTCATAAGATATTGAGGGGATAAGAGCTTCCAACTTGATCCCTGTGGTGGGTTGAATGGTATCCCCCGAAACTCATGTCCACCCAGAACCTCAGAATGTAATCTCATTTGGAAATAGGGTCTCTGCATATATAACTAAGGTAAAGATCAAGATGAGATCACTCTGGATTAGGGTGGACCCTAAATCCAATGACTGTCCTTTTATAAAACAGGAAACCACAGAGACAGAGGGAAGAAGGTCATGTGAAGACAGAGGCAGAGATGGGAGTGATGCCACCAGAAGCCAAGGAATGCCAGAGGCCATCAGGACCCAGAAGAGGCAAAGAAGGCTTCCCCTAGTCTTCAGAGGAAGTGCAGCCTGCCAACACTTAGCTTTCCAATGTTTGGCCTCCAGAACTGAGAGAGAATACATTGCTGTTGCTTCAAGCCACTCAGTTTGTGGTAATTCATTATGGCAGCTCTAGGAAACTGATACAACTCCCTTTGAAGTTCCCATCAAACTCCAAGTTCTCTGATTTTTCTTGAAGTCAAAGACCATATCTTCTTCAATTTCTTCTAGAAACTAAAGAGTCTCCTAGAGTGTTAATGTTGCTAAAAGAATAACTCGACATTAGCTTCATTCTTCTTGATAAGTTAATAAGAAATAATGGTATATTCTTAAAATCAAACCTTTCATTTCAGGTAATTGTGTATTCACACGCAGCTGTTAAGAAATAATGCAGAGATCTGGCATGTCCTTCACCCACTTTCTCCTCATGGTAATATTTTGCAAAACTACGGTAGAGATCACAGCCCGGAGCTGGCATTGATACAGTCTAGGGATCTGCTTCTATCTCCCCCAGGGTTTGTGCTCACTGGGTGGGTTGGGGGTAGGTATCTAGTTCTAGCTACCACCAAAGCTACACAACGATTTCACCCCAAAGACTATAATGGTATTTTCCTCCGGGTAAAAATCTGCTTTATCTGTTTCTGGATCTATAAATATTAACACGATGGCTGGGTCAAAGACAAACCTTTGAAAAAGCCAAGGTGAGAAAGCGTATTTACTCGATCATTAAAATACAAGGTAAACATTTCCCAGATATTCTGCGGTAATGTGAGAAACAAAAATGTAAGCGATAGATAACCCGGAGCAGGTTCCTCCAACAGGACACAGCTCTTGTACCTTGTCCTTTTTATCTTGTCGGGCGTACGGAAAGCACGGGATCACCGCGGTCACCCTGGACGACGACGCGATCTTGCAGGCGTTGATCATGATGAGAAGCTCCATCAGGTTGTCGTTGATCTCGCCACAGCCACTCTGGATGATGTAGACATCTTCCCCTCTCACGCTTTCACCGATCTCAACACTAGGAAAGGAAAAACACCATCCATTAACGTGAAAGCATATGTGTGTTGTGGGCGTCCCCAGGACCACCCCCAGGTTTGATGATTCGCCAGGACTCAGCATATAAATACAGGTGTACTCACAGCTCCAACTACAGCAAGAGGATACAGAACAAAGTGGGCAAAGGGAATAGGTGCACAGGGCGAAATCCAGGTGTAAGCTTCCAAGAGTCATCCTCAGTAGGGTGACACAGGTTGAGCTTAATTCCCCCAGCAACGAGCTGTGACAACACACGTGAAGCGCTGGTTGTCTACCAAGGAAGCTCATTAGAGACTCAGTGCCCGGGGGGTTTAATTGGGGAGCTGGCCATGTAGGCACCCTCTGCCTGGCATTTACCAAAACTCCAGACTCCCAGGCATTCAGCATTAATTAACCCTCCGTCAGGTGCAATGCATTTACTAGATGCGTGTATGACATTTATTTATTTAAATTGAAAATGAATGAAAATAATATATAAGTATGCTTATTATTTATTCAGAATGAAATTTTAATTTGCCACAAAGTAAAAACAATATGTTTATTACATAAATTCAGTATAAAAATGAACAGAAATTCAAAACAATCTGTGAGATCAGTTGCGCCTGACGGAGGGTTAGGCACGGTGTCCGCTGGATTTAGCAGTGAGACATCCCTATCACGGAATGGAGGGAACCCTCGCAAAAGCTAAGTTCCCAGGCGCCAGCCGAGGGCCACCTCGCCAGCAGGCCTTTCTCATGTACAAGATCTTACATGCTCTTTAGAAATTTGTCTCGGCCTAGCTAATGTTAACTCTTTTCTGTTAAATATTATATTTAGTCTTGTAATTTTTATTAATGTTACATATACACACTGCTTAAAAGATTCAAATCATTCTGTAAGGCTTATAACAAACAGCTCAGAGGCAACCAGTTTCAACTCCTGATATGGTTTTTCGATGTTTATCTTCAAGTCTCTAGCTGATGTGTCTGGATTGCTTCATCCTGATTTCTTATTTTTAGGCATCATGTGTTGACGCATCACTATGAAGATGAGGATTTAACTCTATTTCCTCCCCATCCCATCACCTGAATCATTGCAGCCTCCCTCTCTACCTGGTCTGGCCATCATCCCAACACAGATCAATATTCTAACCAGAGCTGAGCGCATATAGGGAACTTAAAGCAAAATTTATAGTTATTTCCCTTTTAAGCACAAGCTGTTTTTTTGGGGGGGGGGGGGGGGAGGGTTGTTTACCCTAGAGGAAATTATCCTACCTTTTGATCTGCTAAGTTTTCTGAGTACTGAATACACAATCCAGCCTAAATTACTGGCTAACAAGCTTAAGTCCAGGACGTTGGAGGCCTCAAGTGCCATCAGAGGCCTCAAGTGCCGACTCTGAGACTTCATCGTCTCACTCGAATCTCCCCCAGTTGTCTGACCTGCCCAGCTGCCCTCCGGGAAGTCCCTCCACCCCTGTCCATCATTTCATTTTCCACTTTCCATACCTGTTCCGTGCTTCTTTGCTTTGCTGACTGGCATCCTCCAGTAGCTTCTTGAGAAAGAGTAAATGAGAGCTTTGAAAGGCTTCGAAACAGCATGTTGGAAAATTTCTGTATTTTGGGTATACGATTCTGAGTGTTCAACCTGAGAGCGAGCCCGCCCATCGCTGGCAGGGGCCTTCCATGGCAAGGAAAGCAAACCAGTGCCGTGTGCTCGGGCCGGCCCTTCACCGAGTACCACCTCAGAACCAAGGACACAATCAGCTCTACTACAATGTTTGTTTTGAAAAGGCCAATGTGTTTCAATAATTGATATATTAGAAACAATTTGGGAATAACATGAATTTTGCACTTGCTTTACCACAATCCGTCATCCTGGGGTGAGAATGCAGAAGGCTACACTGCACCCAGCTAAATGGAGCCACTAAGAAATACTCCAAACACACACACACACACACACACATCTGTCACAAGGACAACAGGCACACCCATCCACATCTGGTGTCACAACTTTCTGCACCATTTCAGATCGCCCTCATTCACCCTCCTCACAAGAATGCAAAACCTACAACCCTTCTGAGACCCACTTCAACAAGCAAGCTAAGCTGCGGGTCTTTTTCAAAGGAAAGTACCATATTTACTGTAGTATATATATATATGTTTTAAACATGTAATACATGTGTTTTACTATTTTTATTATATTCCCATCTTTTTTAATACGCCAATGAGGAAGTTTCTGAGTGTTGTGTCCCTAATCCCATTTTTCCCATAACCCCTGTGGTTTTTTACTACATGATTTTGCATAACGTGATTTTTTTTTTTTTTAGCTGAGCCATCCTGCTACCTGTTGGCAGCTCAGCGGCCATAACGTGATTTTTAGGAATGCGTCTGTCACCTTACGGAACTGTTAAAGATGGTACATGCAAAAAAGAAAGCCATTGAATCTTATTTTAAAATTACGAATGAGGCACATAAATAATTTTACCCTAACCCTTTCTCCTGCTATTAGAAGCCAATTATATGCAATGCTATGGTTTTATTAAAAGAGCCAGCTATTTCAAAAGAAAATTTAAATACAAGTGACATTTGGGATACCATATAGTAGCCTATCTGAATCAACAGAAGCTTCTATCTAACTTCAAGTAGGATAATTAGAAGAGAAAAATGAATTGATTCAAGTTGACATGATCTGAAAATGAGTTTTGGCAACAGTGCATATTCTTTCATCCATGCACTATTCTTGCATGGATGAAAATAGTACGATGCCAACCTTAGGATGAGAGGGACAGAATTCTCCGTACTCTCTTCATATTTCGAGTATGAAGGAGCTAAATATAATTCCTTTGTGCACATCATATCAACTGTGGGATGCAGTCAATATGGAAATCACAATACTACATAGCTCAGGGGTTGACAAGCTAAGCCCATGAGCTGAGGATGATGTGATTGGCAGAATAGCCTCCCAAATATGTTTATATCCTAATCCCTCAAACCTTTAAATATGTTAGTTTACATGGCAAAGGGGAAGCAAGGTGGCAGGTGGAATTAAGGTTACTAATCAAACGACCTCAAAGTAAGATTATTCTGGATTGTTCTAGTTGACCAATGTAATCACAGGGGTCCTTAAAAATGGAAAAGGGAAACCGAAATGGTCAAAGACATGTGAGGACTGAAGCAGGGTCAGGAGATGTTATGTTGCTGGCTTTGAAGATGGAAGAAGAAGCCAAGAGCCAAGGAATGTGGGCGGCCTCTAAAAGGTAGGGAAGGCAAGGATGAGATTCTCCCCCAGAGCCTCCAGAATGGGGCCCAGTGGCCCAGACTAGAATGGCACGGCGCAGCAACTGTGGAATATTCACTCTCTGGCCCTTCGCAGAAAAAGTTTGCCAGTTCCTGGTGTGATGACTATTTATCCCAAAATTCCAGCCTCTTTGGTCTATTTTTCCTTAGGAACCTCAATCCACATATGGCTAGCAGTCCAAGGCAGGACAAAAAATGCTATTAACAGGGGCACTTTTTTCCCCAAAGCTATTCGTGCTTCTACTCATAAAGATGTCATGACTGATCTTTATTATAGGACTTTTAAAACTTGTGGCCAGAAGGCAGCATCCATTTGCTGTTCAGATAAAGGATCCTTACTGATCCTGAAATCAGAAGGCTGATGCGTGTATCTGAGTCAACAATGAATGGATGTGGTAATTAAAAAATGGCCACAGGCTCTTTAACACTTTTCCCATCAATAAGATTCCCCTTTGGATCTGGGAGGACTCTGTGCCTGACAATAGAATGTGACAGAAGGGATTCAGCACCAACTTCAGGGCCCAGGCCTTAATAAACTGGTGAATCCTACTTCCTCTCTTTTGGAATACTTGCGCTCAGCACCCAGCTTCCATGCTGGGAGGGGGAAGCTTTGGCAGCCGTGTGGAGAGGCACTGAGGTTCCTAACCAAGCTCCCAGGCAAAAGCTAGTACCAACTTACCCGCCGCATGAGGAAGCCATCTTAGAAGTGGATCCTCCAGCCCCAGTTAATTGTCTCAGATGCTACCACATGAGGCACAAACAAGACTTCCATGCTGAACCCTGCCCAAATTGCAGATTTGACAGTCAAATAAATAATTATTTTACAAACCATGAAATTTTGGAGTGATTTGTTACATAATGAGAGACAACCAGAACTGTGAATCTTACAACATGGCTAACGACTCTGTGGGCAGGTTAACTGACCAGGATAAAATGTTACAACAGACGTTCAGGCACCATCATCAGCGCTATGCTAGGGCATCATGATGGCATTTCAGTGGTCTAGACCAGGGGTCGGCAAACTTTTGAGACGGAAGAGCCACCAGCGGTCAGCAAATTGCGGCTCGCGAGCCACATG